CCCCCCCCCCCCCCCCTGCATGAACATTTCTGCACTTCTTTTCCCCCCTTTTTGAGATGTTTCGGCTGCAGAAGCTAATGTTTCCCGTTTATTTTAAGCTACAATTCCTAGGTTTTGTTTGTGTATTTGCGTAAACATGTCAAATGCACCAAATACAAAAATTTCCTTTTGATATATTGGGGTTTGGGCGTTTGGCCAACATATGAATTTATATACGCGTGCATTGCTCCTCCCATTGGGTATGGTTTATACAACTTGGGAATCATTGTTCATATCAATGATGATTTCGTAGGCAAAGAAACGTTCAAGCAGTGTGTTGTATTGGAGCAGGATTTTATTTCGATCTCGTTGTTGATTAATTGCTTTTACTTTCAGACGTTTGAGAGGAAACGAAAAAAAGCTCTGTATGAAGCTTTGGAGAAGATTAAAGGAGGTAGGAACTCGAACTTTTTGCTGCACGAGTAGGCTGTACAAGAGTTCTGATTAGTTGTAGTGACTTCTCTACCATACCCGAATCTTTTTTCCTGCAGAGCTCATGGTTTTGGGATTCATTTCACTGTTACTGACATTTGGGCAAAACTACATTGCTAAGATATGTATTCCCATAAAAGTTGCCAATACTATGCTGCCATGCCCAGCCAAGCATAAGGAGCACAGCGACAATGGAGGTGAACATCATAGAAGGCTTCTATGGAATGGGCGTAGGATTTTATCATCCGATAGTGCACCCGGGGAATGCAAGGATGTATGGCCTACTCCATTCAGTAGATTTTCGTACCGTCCTTTCATGTAAAATTGGTATTGTGTGGCATTGGGGTTTTAGGGTGGAAGAGAGTTTTGTGATGTAAAATAACACCCCAATATATTCTTTGAGAATGGGAGTGTGTCACATCATACATTTTTGTAGAATGCGCCAAGACCCTTTATGTAGCATGAACTATTGTCAATTCTAATCACAAAAAATGTTTCATTTATAGGGACATGTACCGCTGATTTCTCTCAATGGTTTGCACCAGCTACACATCTTCATATTCTTTTTAGCTGTAGTTCATGTCATCTATGGTGCTATAACAATGCTGCTTGGAAGAATGAAGGTAGGACTTTCCAGTGTCCTTGCAATTTACCATTAACTGCAATATATAGCCTGTTTATTGGTTGGTAATCTCAGGATAAGTTGCTTATTTTTGTTTTGTAGTGCCCTTAAATGCTCTAGGGATTTATTGCCTCATTAAACCATGGCATCTTTACAAGCTTGGGTGTCCTTCTTCAACAATTATAATCAGTTTTCATGATTGAGTTGCAGTATCTTTCTTTTCTTATATGCAGATCCGAGGATGGAAGGAATGGGAACGTGCAACTGGTCAAGATGAAGTAGCCAATGGTATTTCACTTAGATGACGAAATATGCCCAAACAATTTGAATAGGCATTGCTGCTCAGTTATTTCTATTTCCAACTGAAACCCTTCTTCACATGTCCTTGCAGATCCTTCAGTTTTCAGGCTTACGAAAGAGACTTCTTTTGTGAAAGAAAACACCAGTTTCATGACTCAAACACCAATTCTTTTCTACTCTGTAAGAGAAATAAGAAACAAACAAAGAATGGTTATAATTAATTAGTACAACCAAAAAGTGAAGAAAATGAAAATAGGATGGCACAACAATGTGTAATATGATTGCTTGCTTTGAGCTCCTCGACGTATGATTATACTGCTGTTTCTGTCAATCAAATATCAACAACAGTGCAGTGATTGTTTAGTTCTTTCGCTTTTCAGGTTTGCTTCTTCCGGCAATTTTTTAGGTCAGTTCGTAGAGCTGACTACTTGGCAATGCGCCACGGATTCATTTCGGTGAGCCTTTTAAACAACACAGTACTCTTGGGGTTGTGTTGAAATATTCTTGAAGTCAATATTCTCTTCCCATAATAGGAGATTAAAATTGGTATGGTGTTGATGGCCCCTTTTTTCTCTACTATATTACCTACAGGTCCATTTAGCTCCAGGAAGTAAGTTTGATTTTCAAAAGTACATTAAAAGATCATTGGAAGATGACTTCAAGGTTGTTGTTGGAATTAAGTATGACCCTTATTTGATCTCAAATCCTCCTGAAGAATATTTGTTGTTTCTGAGCTGTCTTTTAATTGTTCACGTCATAATTGCCTGTCTGTTTATCTTTGTGCTTTGTTCAGTATGGTGTTATGGTTGTCAGCAGTGCTCTATCTGCTGCTGAATGTTAATGGTAGGCTTTTATTTTATTTTATTTTTTTATGTCTTGCCCATAGCAAATTCTAGCACACTTGGTTTTTACATTTTTAGTTGAACTCAGTGTATTTTTGTTCAAACTATTTCAGGATGGCAAGCTATGTTTTGGCTGTCCATAATGCCTTTAGTTGTAAGAATTATCACATGCAATATAATATCTCATTTCATTCATGTGCATTTCCTTTCTAGTGAATTGCTAACTCGCTTCTGCTTTCGTAAAGACAATATTAGCAGTTGGGACAAAGCTTCAAGCAATAATAGCACAAATGGCCATTGAAATCCAAGAGAGGCATGCTGTAGTCCAGGGCATACCTCTTGTACAAGTTTCAGACAGACATTTTTGGTTTAGCAAGCCAAAGTTAGTCCTTTATCTTATCCATCTAACCCTATTTCAGGTACTAATCCTACTCTTATCCCAACATATTTATGTTTATTTGTAATCTAAATATTTTAAATGTTTGAGTCTAATAACACAACAACAACCCAAGATACCGAGACACTCTTTCTATTAGACCCGTGATGCACTGCTGCATTATAGTTACCATTCACTGCTTTGTTTTCTACTTATCACACTTACCAGGACTAATCTAGAATAGTTCAAGTTTAGGAATGGTTTACTTGCGGAAATAACGGCCTAAACTGAATGGCTTAAACCCAGGGTTTCTAAACCCCTCCCGTCTATTATGCACACATTTATCACAGCATATGGAGCATGATTTTTTTTGTTCCCTAGACATTCTAACAAGGCACCTTTCTTCTTTAACATTTTTCAGAATGCATTCGAGATAACATACTTCGTCTGGATATCAGTAAGAAATGATCTCTTCTGTTTTCTTTTCATTTGTGTGGTGCAATGGAATAACAAATTGTGTCCATTGGCAGTACGAGTTCGGGCTTCATTCCTGCTTCCACAGTAACTTCTATCTCGCTGTTCTAAGAGTTTGTCTTGGGTAATTTCAAGTTATTTTCTGTATTATTTGTATGCCCATGATGAACCATTATGGTCTTAAAAAATTTATGCCAATTTGCTAGGCTTGGAGTACAATTCTTGTGCAGCTACATTACGCTTCCATTGTACGCTCTTGTTACCCAGGTACTAAGGCTGTTTCCTATAGAATCTGCATTTTACATAACGATACAAGGGGTATTCGAAAAGGGACTCTATGATACTAATAAGTCATTCATTGATTGCCCTTCACTTATCCCCTTTCTTCTATCATTCTCTACTTTCAGATGGGATCAACCATGAAGAGGTCCGTATTCGATGATCAGACTTCAAAAGCCCTGATGAAGTGGCATAAAAATGCCAAGGACCATATAAATGTTCCAAAGCCAGGAGCTATCAAAACGACAACACTAGGAGGTAGTCCGGGCGACTCCCCCGACAATTCCCCCCGCGGGCACCCATCAGGTGCTATGAATGTGGTCGGCGTGGCAAACCAAAACTCTGGACAGATGGCTAACATCATTGCCAGTGTGGATATTCCATTGGACAGTCCACCGGGCGATGGCAGGTCCCACGGGACTGACCTTCTCACAGGTCCTTAAAAGAAGAAAGAAATGATGCAAAAAGCTTGGAACGATGAGTAATTAATTAACCATCGTTCCTAGGTGGTACATATATACATGGTAGTTAGTACATATATATAGGTTGTCGCAAAATTCATTGGATGTCTAGTTGGAGATATTCATATGTATTTTGTGCTGGTTTGTAGCAGTTATGAATCACTGGAAGGCCAATTGCCCAGTTTGGTCGTTCATTAAACACATAGGAGTTTTTACCGCACTATATAGAAACCATTCTTCTAACGATTGGGCCCTTGTTTGTTGTAAAATATTTTAATGTCTCTAATTGAGCTTGCACATTCTGTATTTCCTCACATATTTTAGGATGTGTTTTGTTCAACTTACTTTTTATGCTTATTATTTATTCTTATTATAATCAGATCAGAAACAACTTTAACTATAATTGCAATCAGATCAGATCAGACCCATTAGATCTTCAAAAAATCAGATCAGATCAGGACAACAGAACGCAACCTTAGTAATCTTCTTGTAGATGCACTCATTGATGTTGCAATCTACTTCCTTTGTCCCTGAGTATTTGTCCACTTTTGACTTTTTTTTGTCAAGATTCATAAATTTTGACCTCAAATTAAATAAAAATAATATTAGACATTGATACAAAAATAATTTTATTATATTTATTATAACAAGTATTTTCAAAATATTATTTCATCTAATTAATATACAATATATATTTTATTTAATTATAAGTCCAAGATTGAAAATAGTTAAACGAAAAAAGTCAAAAGTGGACAAATACTCAGAGACGGAGAAAGTATTTGATTGTGTTAATCGAGCACCATGCTTCTTTTGACGTTGAATTTCAATGTCATATTCTAACATCGAGTACCTATGGTGGTTCGTTGGACCATAAAGAGGGCTAAGGGGCTGGGGTGGGGTGCAAGGTGATTAATGGGCATGAACTACATTTGGGTCCAACGAAGTACTATATGTGCTCTAATGGACCAATGTGATTATATGATATTTGGAGTAAAAGCGTCAAGAGAACCTTACCTTAATCTACTGAAAAAATTGCATGTTTTTTATTACCATGAAGCATTATACTTCAGGACAAAAATGTCGACAAAGCAACTTAGTGAAGCTAGAATCAACAATGGAATCCAGCGTAGCTTAGTTTAAGCTTATACACATCATTTTTTTGTCACATCACCAAGTAAACTTTTTTAAGTCACAAATTTTATTCATAATTTAATTTTCACATACAAAATAAAAAAAAGAAAACAAAAAGATCCTCTAGTCAACTTTAGCTCCACACACACATATATATACACACACACACACATACATATATATACATACATACATACATACATAGATATATATATATATATATATATATATATATATATATAGACACACACACACACATACATACATACATACATATATCTATACATATATACATATATATACATACACACACACACACATAGAACAAATTGATCTAACGCGTCTGTTGGCAAAACAACACAACTTTATGCAATACATTTAAATGAAACCGATAGTTCATGTTAAACATTGTGTTTTAGAAATTCTAAGCATGAAGCATTGTGTACATTCACGTAAAAAGTAAATCATACAAGCATACATTCAAGCATACAAACATGTATAATGAATAAAACGTGACATGGTTGTGGCCTCCTAAAGAAACTAACGATAAAGCCTTCATTTGAGATCTCTATCTCCAGCTTCACCTTCTTTCTTTAAGAGTACTTCAGCCTTCAAGTTCAGCCCTTCTTTCTAATGTCCTCTTCTTCTTGGCTCCTAGGCCTTCATCTTTCTTGCTTCTTCATGGACTTCTTTGTTTAATCGAGAAAAAACAATTCTTGCTTTGTAAACAAGGGGTATGAGGTTCAAGAAGAGATTTACAACCAGAGTTTGGAGATGAGGCACGACACGCAGGCCATATTTAAAAACCACACATTCTAAGCCAAAACCATGCACCATGCAAACATCCATACATCACATGTATAAAAATTCATACACTGGCAAGCCGCGCTCGCCCCAGTCCTAGTTTATTCTAAGAAAAATAAACTACAAGCCTAAAATTATCAAATAATTTTATTTATATTTATTTTAAAACTCTAGAATATCCAAAATCTAACTTTGAATTTTCTAGAATTTTCTAGAATATCCAAAATTTAATTTAATATTCCTCAATAGTATATAACCAATTTTGGGTCGTTAGGTAGGTCTCGTGAGAAGATGATTAATGACATATAGTTTGCCAAGTTTGAAATTATGTGTAAAGAGTACGTTATGAGTAGATTAAACGTTACAATTCAATAAATAAATATAAATATTTTTATAATATCATATTATATTATAACAATAATACGTATATAGTATTCTATTCCTACCCTTTGGGATTTACCTGATAATGGAAAGCCCAATTTCTAGACCCCTGATGAGAATTAGCCCAACAACTATGGTGACGATGAACGAAGGATAATTAATAATAGATAAATCTCACAATATTTCTATTAATAACTGTGTTGTAGTGTTTTTCACTTGTCTTACAGTGGAGGGTTCTCCTCCTATTTACATTACATACGGTTACATACATAACGGGCACTTATCGTGGGCACAATTCTCGCCATTATAGCTCTCCCATCAATCATGGTGGTTCACCATATTTCCCATCTTTCCAAATCCTTGCATTGTTCAGGGCCTTTGCTCTTCGCTTGGGCCAATTGACTAGAAAATGGGCTTTTCCCCACTCCAGCCCATATACCTCTTGTGATTGGGCTGTCCATTGCGTTTTCTAGGCTTGGATATCCATCAACCGCATTCACGTGTAGTATTTATATATGGAGTATAATATGTGCATGCCTGGAATTCTTTGCTGATCTTCATTATCAATTGTCTTCTTCGCCATCTTGTATCGTCGATTCAGACAGAGTCTTCACTAGTTGACCACCATCTTGGTTGTCGTATACTTTTGCATGTGCACAACAGAGCTAGCGAGGAGAAAGAAATAGGGGCAATGTCTCTTCTTCACTTGAGATTAAGAATTTTCCGAATAATCGAGGTGAGCCGTGGTTTATCTCTCGTTAGAATTGATTCGTATATTAGGATTCATTAATATGTTTTCATTCAATTGGCATTGAATACGTGATTATGATTATTGAATTGCGTGTTTGGTTGGGTTGGGAATACAATTTGATTTGGAATTGGTTGTGATTTTTGGGTGGGTTATTGCTTTGCCTCTTTGGTTATGCTCACCGTTTTAGTTTCTCTTCTTTTCCTTATGTCCTTTTTCTGTTTGTTCCTGCTCGTGGGTTGCCACTGCCATCCAATGTCAACCTTGCTACTTGTTCTTTCTGCCGCCATGAAGCTGTGAATGGTGCATTGGGAGTTGTCGGCGTTGGTCTCATGTTGGAGAGTTTCTGTTCGGATTGATCAAAGGGGATATAGGGACACAGATGTGCAATTTGAATTGAATGTTCCAAATAGCAAAGTTATCTCATTATAGAACTTGTTGGTGATACTTATGTGTTGAACCGAAATTATGAAATATGCCACCTAGTAGTATTAGACGGATCTGAATTGAATTTGATATATAAATTACATGTAGGACTGAGGAATTTTACTTTAAGTCATGCAGGTATCGACTTTCACCTAATGGTCTCTAGAAGGATAGAGTTTACATCTCTCTCAGTTTCGCTTGTTAAAAAATCTATGAATCAAGTTACTCATTAGTTAACTCGAACATCTCATTCAATGTCTGATTTTTGGGAATGAATTTTAATCTCTCCAATTTTTATTTGTGATGCTCTGAATTTTGATAATTTACATTAATAAAATAACAACAACAACAACCCAGTTAAATCCCACAAAAGTAGGGTCCGGGGAGGGTGTGTGTACGCAGACCTTGCCCCTACTCGAAAGTAGAGAGCCTGTTTCCAAAGAGACCCCCGGCTCAACGGCGAAAGTTGCATTGCTTGACTAACTGCTACTTCATTAATTAAAGAAGCGCAGACAGTTTAGAGATCCATTTTAAAAAGAGCATTATTTGTTTTTCTTTGACATTATTTATATTGCTACTCACGAATTAGATAATCACAATATTCGATATTTGGATCATGTATTTTATACAATAAAATTAGTGAGGATGAAGAACTAAAGCTATAATAAAATCAAATAATGCAATCTCATAGAGTCCTTAACTAACCAACTTTGTTGAATATTGCAGAGCTTGAGCAAAGACTTCGTGTTTTTTAAATTAAAATTTTTAACACTCCTTTTATAGAGTCCTTAACTAACCAACTTTGTTGAATATTGCAGAGCTTGAGCAAAGACTTCGTGTTTTTAAAATTAAAATTTTAACACTCCTTTCGTCCCAAAGTATTTATAAAATTTTGATTTTTTGAAATCAACTATAATCAACCTTTGTGACTGTTATCACCATTCACATAATGGGAAGATTTAATTCCAAAAATAATTGGCAACAACAATAGAGGTCAGCATTTGAAAAGAAAAAGATATTTAACACAGAGTAGCATCATTTAGCTTTATCATTTTCAAAATAAATTTATCACCATTAAATTTTTATCCAAAACGTTGATGTAAATCAAAAATACTATTCCCAAACAATGTCATAATTTATTACATAGAACCATTTGGAACCGAACTTTTCAGTTCAATGCCATGTTAGACGAATACTCTAATTTGAAACATTATTGGGTTAATATTTCTGCTCACCCCTACAAATTTGAAAAGAAACAAAATAACAAGTGTTTTTAGAAAATGGGTGCATGATTTAGAGAGAACTTTACCTCAGGTCATCAACTAATTGGTGACTATTGTTTATTAACTTGTCATTTCAGATTTGGGCTAATGTTGTTTTTGTCAAGTCCTTGGTCCAAAAATACGTCAGATCAATGTGTACCACGTCTATGTATGGTAAATTGGTAATGACCCATTGATGTTTTTAAATAGGTAATACAAAGAAACATTCTGCTTTGACCATATTTACTTGGCCATCATCTGCTCTAAGGCAAACTGTGCACATCATGTTCATTGCTATCACATAGTATTCTGAAACAATGAAATGACACAAGGATCGGTCATATGTTCGATCAGAATATCACACGTAAAAAGTTAATAAGATGTGAAAACGAGTAATTTTCACTGCAACTTTGGAAATTCTTCAGATAGACCATTTAACTTGTTGGCTTTCGTTTCATAAGTCAAGGACAAGCTGCTGATGTCGTTTGAGATCATTCAAGTACTTGGTCAAGTTATACTCTTCAGCATCAAAAAGTTCTTCTGAGTAGGTCCTTTGTAGAGCATTTTTCTTCTTCTCTTTTGAAGAATTTTCGTCGGAGCTTTTGTCTCTAAGTAAGATTACAACCTGCTAGAATGCATATTGGGTCCGGTCATGTTATACAAGTTTGAGTTTGGCATCTGTTATGCGAGTTTATTTTCAAGTTCTGTAGGGGGGGGCATAGAAGTAAATACTTGCCTGGCTCATCTGCGGTCGCAAAATGGGATTCTGTTCTACACACAGAGATGCAGTCAAAACCACTCGGCTCATCTGTTGTTTATCATAACTATTACCAAGAACAGGATCAACAAGTTCCTCCACCTCATCACTATCAAGCAAAGGTTTTGCCTAAAATTGAATTTGAAACAAAGTAGTGTAAAATTGAACGTGAATTCTTAACTGATATAAGACGAAGGGTAGCATAAAAAGATTTGGACGTGCAAGCCAGTTATACCCAAAGCACAATGCTTTTCTGTGAATCGTCAACTGCTGGCCGTCCTGTAATAATCTCCAAAAGCAGTACTCCAAAAGAAAAGACGTCAGTTTTCTCATCCACCATGCCATGCATAAAGTATTCCGGAGCAAAATAACTATCAACGAAAGGAAAAGTCAGTAACCATTCTTCTCTCTAAAAGGGGGGGGGGGGGAGTATCAAGCACTAACATACCCAAAAGTGCCTTCAAAATTTGAAATATTGTGATGGGTCCATTCCTTGGGAAGCCATTTTGCTAGGCCAAAATCACATATCTGCATTATTATTCAGCATTATCATTTTTATAGTTTCAGAAACAATATGATATTCACTAATCTAAATGTAGCAGACTAGCAGCAATAGAGGCTACTCTCGGATGTTACATATTTCATGGATACACTTCAACGATGGATAGTTGAAATGTTGACACGAATATAACAGACCCACGGAAATTAAAATTAACTGATTTTTTATTTTTCAACATCCCCTTAGCACTATATTTGGTTCAAGGCATTTGAAAGGGAAAAGAAGAGAAAATGATTTGGAAATCAAGTTTTCTTGTTTGATTAGAGAGGAGAAGAAAAGAAAAGCTAAAGGAAAAGAAAGCGAGAGGAAAAAAATAAACTTAAATTAGGGAAACCAACTCTCCTTTTGTTTTGGTGTGGAAAAGGAGAGAAATTTCTTTCTTTTCATTTCCTTCCGAATTCCACAAACCAAACACAGTGTAGATAGCAATACCTGGATTCTATTTTAGTTTTCTATTTTATATTTCTAGTAGATGTAAGGTCGGCGTACACACACCCTCCCTAGACCCTAATAGTGGGATTTCAATGAGTTTGTTGCTGTTTTGCGGGGATAAATTCAAATTTAAACAGTATATCCGACACTGATATAAGTGGTCATATAGTTGAAAGTTGAAATTTTTGGCTTGTGCTCGACTCATTATAATGTCCACGGGGAGCATCCCGTAACTACCACAAGAATATATGTTTCCATTTGCATCCTCAATCATCCACGTCAAGGTACAACAAATCAACAATAACAACAAACCCTAGTTAACCCCAGCTCCATTGAGCTCTTGGGGATAAGATATACACAACCTTAGCCTTGTAAAAGAGTCCAGAGTTTACTTCCTCTTACATTGCACATTCTTATTGATTATTTGTTAAAATAATATAGTCAAGTCACCATTTGTTTTTTTAGAATTCTTATGTAGTTTTAAAAAATATAAATATTTATAGTTATACACCAATACTCAATTAAATTGAATTGAAAATAATTTTAGTTAAGTATCGCAAACCGCAATGTTAAGTTCTTTTTGGGAAAGAGGGAGCCATTCTTAATATATTGCTGAAGGTCAAAGAGGGCTACTTGTTTCATGAGCTACTTGTTTCATGAGCCACAGTATGTGTAATGAACACAGACAGATTCGTATAACACTACAAGTTTCAGCAAATCAGACACCATTGCCAAACGTTTTGCTCATTTTTCCTGAAAATGGACTTGGATGATTGTACGAAAGAGAACTAGGACTCTAATCACTCTATGAGGACCAAACTGACCATACTAACACCAAAGGATGTATCTTTGTATTACACAATATAGATTTCATCAATCAGACACCATTGCCAGGCTTTCTGCTCAATTTGCATAAAAATGGATTGTGAAGATTGTTTAAAAGAAAACTAGGACCAAAATGAAAAAACCAACACCAAGCAATGTATCTTTGTGAAATTTGGTAAGAATATTGTGTACAGAGAGTTTGGAAAGATTTAAAGGAACGACATATGCTTGCAGTAGAATCTAGGCTGAAGTTGGTCACTCATTTCCACCAAAAGGGGAATGGACGAGATAGGAGGCCACAACATATAAGCAAACAAATATGCTTACCTTCTTGTAAGCCTCAATCACTTCATTTAACGTGTCCAACCCCATTTCAGTTGGCATACATTGAGGCATTTATGTTGAGTTCTAGCATCCCAAAACAAGAGATCTTGAGAGCATTAGTGACATAGTAATTGAGTGAGAGTCGGTGTTTCTTTCTCTTTTTGGCTATGGGATGTGTTCATTTGTTAAATGCTCCATCACTTGAAACATTTGGGTGGGCCTACTATTTGAGAGATTCCTTCATTTGTAAGATTATACCCAAGTTGTAAATACTTCCTTCACGAAAGAGGAAGGTAGTTGAGAGCACAAAATAGAAAATCCTTTGTTGTCTAGTTTTTGGTTCAATTTTTCACATTTGTTGGAAATTTAAACGATTTGTGTCGCAAAGTCTTCACCCTTTGTCCTCAGAGGGTGTGAGAGAGCTAGAAATTAACCGATCCCCACCAATCCAATTAAGAGGGTGAGAGTGAGAGATTCGTCACATAAAGTATATTAACAATGCTTAGAGGTAGTTCAGAATTCTCATATTTAAAGGCAATAATTACAAATTACTCCATGAGTTCATCACTCCATGGTATACAAATTGAATTGGAAAACATATGTGAGCATTTTCAGGTAGAAAAAATTGGGTACTTTCAGGGGATATCTCAGATTTGGGTAACCTCGGGTGTAATACCTCCATCCCAGTGTATTCGTCCAGTCTAACTTCTTTTATCAAGCTTTCAATATCATTCATATAAAATATTAGATTGCATATTAGACTTTTCGTACAAAAATGATTTCATTAGATCTGTCTTGCATAAAACTTCAAAAAATTATTTCCATTTTTTAATGTGCAATGCAATTTTCAAATATTTGATTAAAGTTCATCCAATTTGACTTGAAAAGGTCAAACTAGACAAAAAGTATGTAATGGAGAGAGTGGTTCATATCACATCACCACTTCTAAAATAGAAATATTTTGAAGAAAAAAACATCAAGCAGTTACATTACACAATGTTAGTATAGTTTGTAATTAACTAGTGAGCATAAAATTTGGGAGTTTCCTGTCATTTAAGCAAGAAATATTATAGTAGATGGGATTACCGTTTGCTCAAGCTCTATAGGGGGGTCAAATTTAGCCATGTCTCTAGTAGAGAGTGTTTTGAGAAACGTGTGGGTTCCTTTTGTGTTTCATTTTAGTTGTCCTTCCCACAGTATGAGTAAACGTAAAAATAAGTTTCATCAAACATTGGTCAATCCATTTAGTTAAATATTAGTATCAATTAGGCTTAAGACTGTAAGATACCTCTGGCACAAAATCTTCTGTAAGTAGGATATTATCAGCTTTAATGTCTCTATGAATAATCCTTCTTCGAGAGTTCTCGTGAAGGTAAAGCAGGCCATCTGATATCCCTAGAACGATTTTGTACCTATTCTCCCAATGTAGTGTTTCCCTTGGGCCTGAGATGAGCACATATATACGATATCCACTTCAAAAGAGAAAATATAATAGCACTCTTCACTTCACATGAATAAAAGAAACATGTATGAGAGATGATTTTTGAGACACACCTCGAAGAAATGACCTTAAACTCCCTTTTGATGATAGCTTAAGAACAAGATAAATTCCCCCCTCAACTCCATACCCGATCATTTTTGCAGTATTAGGATGATCAACATGGGCAATCGTTCCAATTTCAGATAAAAAATTTCCTTCACGGTCCTCTAATGACCCTCTGTTCATGCGCTTCACTGCTATAAACTGACCTTCTGGCAAGCATCCCTTGTAAACTTCAGCATACCCTCCACTTCCAATAATGTTTTCTTTCAAAATAAAGAATTTAAAATAAAATAATTTAAAACCTGAGTCTTAATACAGGCCATGTCAAAGTGTACACAAGGATGGAATTTTTATTTGAGAGAAAATATAGAAAAGATAATATAGCACATGACATTAAACAAAATAAACTACAACCTTTACTGAAATTGTTGGTTGCAGACTTGAGCTCAGCCAATGTGAAAATTCTCAATGAAGGTTTTAAAGGACACAAACTTGTGTCTACATTTTCTCTCAAGCTTTTGAATTTTCTTCTTGACATCCTTGAAGCAAAAGGCGGGAAGGAAGGTAGGCGCTTAATGGAATTTCTTTTCCACAACTTGAAGAATCTGTGCCACCGTGAACGTATCCGAGAATCTGATGAGGGGACTATAAACTGTGACCCATTACTTCTTTCATGTTTGTTTTCTCGCATCCAGATACATCCCTCAATAATCCCCCTTGGAGAGGACTCATAATCCTTCTCATCTTCAACTTCAAAGCATCTCAAGTCTACATCATTACAAGAAAATGGCAGGATTTAGAAGATGCATGATGACACTCTGCCAGCATGATTATGCTGGAAACACAATTATCCTATCATACAACCTTGAGCAGAAGCAGATGATGATAGTGCTGGGTAACTTTTGCTTCTAGCTTCCATCATGTACTTGCTCGATTTGTCGCATTTTCCTTCACTCATTTTCCTACAATGGAGATGCACTTACATTGATGAATTATGCTATAGAGACAAAGGAAAAAAATATGTAGAGTGTGCCCATTCTTGCATTCAACTAGCAGCCTTCGATTCTAAAAAGCAATTATTCAACTCTTCAGATAGAATTTTATATAAATATATAAATACACACACACACACACACACATATATATATAAGAAGACATAAATTAGATGTGGGAAGAATCACACACTATCTTCTCCCATAGCTAGGGGAAAATGAAAACAAATAGGGAGTAATTTTTACTTTAATTAATTAATCAAACCCCATCTCAGCCTGCCATGAAAATCTACCTAGAGCAGACAATGCAATTCGAACACAGGAATCTAAACCACGGCCTCAAAAATTAATTTGGAATTAGCCTTATTAATTTCAAACGGCATTCTACATGAATGAACCTATGCCTAATCAGCTCTTTGGAAATATAATGGAACCCTTCATCTCGCAGAAGCATTTTGTGTCTGAAACTCACTTCTTGAACAATACCCAGAAAACATTTAGAATTTAATCACAAAACAAAGAAACAAAACAAGGTATATGGCCAAATCTAAAAATAAAGAAAAAGGCTTACAGAGGAAGAGAAGGCAGCTGGTGGGAGGCCATTATAAGAGCTCCAAGACGTTCCGCTAACGATAGGATGAACACAGAAGACAGAAACGTTAATCAAAGCCTCGATTCTTATCATCCTTACCAACGACTCACAATCACCCAATCCGCATAGCTGCACATGATGAAGGAAGCCGTGTATTCTGTATGGATCTCGTCATAGGGCCCGAAATTATACCCACGCAAAAACCTGGAACCCCCCTGCCCATGAAAGGAAAGAGGAAAATAGAAAAAAGGAGAGAGAGATGGCGGAGTAGTAGTCTGATGGACTGCTGGTCTTTTTTTTGTTTGTTATTCTCCATGATTCTCTCCCTGCCTTATATATCTTCAGGTCAGTGTTCATCGTTGTGGAAATCAAAGTACCAGAGTCTCTCACTCCAAAAGAAATCCCAAATACAGAGTATGGCGTTGTTTACATGTTTGATATCCCAGAGCACTATTCCAACTTCATTATGGGAATTTATATTTATTTGTGTTTTTTCATGGCCTATATGATAAAATAAAATATTCTTGTCACCACTTGTTTTGTTGAACTTTTGATGTAGTTTTTAAATATGTATGTTTTATTTTTTATTTCTATACCAATATTTAAATAAAATAGATTGAAAAAACTTGGGATTTTTCTTCGTTTTGCGAACCGGGAAGATCATTATAGGACGGAGGGAGTATTAGCTAT